CTTGCCAACCCGTCCATAACCCCCACAGTCAAGTGCTCAGGCCTGGATTCCCGTGTCCTGAGGCACATGGCTCGATGCCTCCGACGTCCACCAAGAGCCGACAGGACAGGTGTTCAGCGCGATCCCGGTGAAGCTTTAGAAAATCACGTGCACAGCCTCGAGCTTCCTGTCCTCCTCCCACAATCAAAATAACCAAAGGGAAATTCGGGAAAAGACCCTGGCCCCAGAGTCCCTGCTTCCAAGCGTCCAGAGCGCTCCTGAGAGCCCGGGTCTCTGGGTCGCGGCACGGCAGCCAGGCTCGCGGTCCCGTCCCGGCCGCGGCACCGCTGGGGAACTAACCCTAGGGAGAGAGGGAGGCCCGGGCGCCGGCCAGGACACAGCCCCGGGGAAGGCCCTTGCAGTCGCTGGCCTAGCCCGGCTTCCACGCGCGGCCCAGGGCCTGTTCCAGCCCCTGCCGGTAGGCCGCGTAGCGCCGCTGCAGGTTCCTCAGCTGCTCGTCCTCCTCCTTGTCCAGGATGCGCAGGAAGTTCTGCAGCTCGGGGAGGCTGAAGGCTTCCCACTGTGGAGGACACAGAGAAACGCGCTGTCGTTCGGAGGCGGCACTCAGGAGGGTGGCGGCCACCCCAGCCCAGCCTCATGAGGCCTGGACCCCGGGCTGGGTGGGCCAGTCCCAAGCACCTCCACACCCAGCTCGGGTGCACCTCGCCGCCCTTCCACCCTATTTCAGGATGGGCTCCCCAAAGCCGGAGGCCCCTGAGTCCACAAGACGCGGCCGTTCCCCACCCGGTCTGACCCCAGAGGCAGGAGACACCGCCAGACGGCTCCATCTTCCCCAGAGCCCTGCTGGCTTTCACTCCCCACAGTCCATGTGTCACCTCTCCCTCAGCCACGCCATCCCCATCGGGCCCGCGGTCCTCCCTCTCTGCTGTCCTGGGCCGCCTCCACCCCCTGCTCCCGCCCCTCCTGCCTGGCTGCCCCATGCCTGGGCTCCCCACACAGAACACCCGTTGGCTTTGGCTGTTGGTTTGCTTTTTTGAGCCTCCCTCTGTCGCCCAGGCTGGAGCGCAGGGGCACGCTCACAGCTACCGCAGCCTCGACCTGCTGGGCTCCGGCAACCCTTCCACTTCAGCCTTCCAAACAGCTGGAACTAGACACGCGCTACCATGCCCAGCTAATGTATTGATTTATTGTAGAGACGAGGTCTCGCCAAGTGGCCCGGGCTGGTCACGAGCCCTTGGGATCAGGCAATCCTCTCGCCTCGACCTGCCAAAGTGCTGGGATGACAGGCATGAGCCACAAGCCTGGCCCAGAACACCCTTTGTAGCATGCAAATTTGGTTGAGACTCACTGGCTGGGCCTGGTGGTTCATGCCTGTCTTCCCGGCACTTTGACAGGTCGAGGCGGGAGGATTGCTTGAGGCCATGAGTTTGAGAGCAGCCTCAGAAACATAGCGAGACCTTCTTTTAAAAATGTGCAATTGAAAAAACGGCTCTGTTTTTAGACCAGACTGTGCTAATGTGTCTGGCTTCACCACCCAGGAAGGCTACCAGCTGCCAACCAGGGGCCTTCCTCACCCAGCTTTCTCCCCAAATGCGGCTCCTGACTTTCTTAAAAAGCCCCCAAACACCAAGATCAGAAGAAACTTCAAAAAGGTCTAAAATCACTGTGTTCCTGAAGCTCCCTGAATAAGTTGTAATTCGCATGTACAAAGCACGTCTACATACGTTTCTACTTGCGACACCAAACCGCCCTGTAAAGAGTTTAGTCCCAAATGACAGGTTTTACAACTGAGGCCGAACAATGGGACTGACCCAGGGTCATGCCCCCCACCAGGGCCAGGCATGGAGGTGGGGGGTGGGGAGGGTGGCCGCAGAGTCCTGCCGTCCTGACTTTCCACCCAGAACCCTGCGCTGTGGGCACTGCAAGGCGTCCTGCAGGGGCCCTCCTGCCACCTCCTGTTCCAGACAGATCTGCCCGAGGGCCATTTCCGAGCTGACCCGAGCCCAGGGTGTCTCGGTGCTTTTTTTTCTTCCACTGATCAGGCCAAAGCCGACCCTCCCCAGAGGGAACATGGCTGCGGACAGGCGGAAACACCCCTTCTCAGTCACAGCTGGCACAGCGGGGAAAGGAGTCTGGAGAGGCCCATGTCTCTCAGCGGCGTGAAGGATCGGGTGTCCTCCTGCTTCCCTCTAGGAGGGAGCTGGCCTGGAGACTCCGGTGAGCAGCGAGCATATGGAGAGTGTCACCTTTCAAAGCGCGGCCGGGTTAGGGTACTTTGGAAGTGGGAAGGGGCGAAAATGACTCTTTGGTCAGAGATCAAGTTGAGAAATCTGATTTCCCGTCTCTGGAAATCACAGGCCCACAGAATGTCATAAGAGAATTATACTGGGGGTGGACTCTGGGTTCGTTTCTGCACAGCCGAGACTTCTCTCTCCTCCCCTCCCCTCCCTGCTTTCGCTCTCCTCTCCTTGGGGGTCAGGTCACCAGACGACAGCCAGGAAGCAGGCCCAGTCGTCCCAGGTGGCTCAGCGCTGTCCCAGGTGGTTTAGCGCCGTCAAGAGCCATCACGTACCTCTCCGATTTCATGCTCACGGAGGACAAAGCTCAGCGAGTCTGTCCGGGGCCCGGCCACCAGGCGCAGGAAGAGCGGGTGTTCCCGGTCGGAGAGCTTGCAGGCATAGACTGGAAGGAAAAGGCAGCGTGAGGGCCGCTCCCGAGAGCGCGACAGCCCCCTCCTCTCGACCGACCCAGGCCACGGCCCCTTGGCCACCAGCCCCCTCATCCCGCCACCAGCCCCAGCGGATGAAACCCATCCCGCTGCGGGTCTATCTGCCTGGGCCCAGTGGTCCTCGACTAAGGAGGAGGGACTTTCAAGGACACGGCCCCCAGATAGCTGGCCGTTGGTTCTCCTCCCTGTAGAAAGCAAGAAACTGGCCGGGCTTGGTGGCTCAGCCTGTCATCCCAGCATTTTGGGAGGCCGAGGTGAGTGGATTGCCTGAACCCGTGCGTCTGAGACCAGCCCAGGCAACTTGGCGAAACCTCGTCTCTACAATAAATAAAAAAAATTAGCCGGCCATGGTAGTGCATGCCTTTAGTTCCAGCTACTTGGAAGGCTGAGGCGGAAGGATTGCTAGAGTCCAGCAAGTAACACTGGGGTGGCCATGAGCGTGCCACTGCACTCCAGCCTGGATGACGGAGTAAGACTCAGACTCAAAAAAAGAAAGAAAGAAAGAAGCCTTTAAAAGGGTCTAGACCTTCCTTAAGGACAATACAAATGTGTCACCCAGAGAGCAGGAGTCAGAGCTCCAAAGCAAAAGCCCCTGAGTGACGGACACGCAGCAGCACAAACAGGCCACCAGGCAGAACGCAAGCTCGGGCGGCTTCAAGGACAGCTCTGTGTGTCTCAGGCTTGACAGACAAGACAGACCCACAGACACGCATGTAAGAATGCTGCCCAAGCGCCCCCGTGATCCTGGTACTTCCAGGCACCATGCGTGGCAGGGGTGACGTCCTGGGGATGGGAACGTCCCCGCATGCCATGCGGAAGGACAGGGACCTGGCCGTTCACCCATACTCCCCAGGGTCCAGCCCAGGGTGTGTGTTGAAAACACGCGTGCGCACTCGGCAACTGGTCGTGCTTCTCCCTGGACGTTCTCTGGCAGGCAGATGGATTTCCTTCCACGGCCGCTCCAGGCATCCCCCAGAACAACCAGGAGGACTCACCAGAGCCCTACTGTCACGTCCCACCTCCAGCGACCGTGCTCAGTCCCCGAGGCCCTGCTGCCCACCATGGAGTCGTCGCTGCTCCCTGCTGGACCCGGCCATCTTAGCTTTAGGCTGCTCTCTACCTTCCCCTTCTATCCCTGAACGTGGTGTGGAGTTCGGACAGACAGACTCCTTGCCGGAATGTCAGTTCCTTGTTTTCTGTGCCTCTGGGGGCGGGGCCAAAATGTCCCTGTGCAATGCCGGCGAGACAAGCCAAGCCAAGGATCCCGAAGCACCTGGGCCGCCCTCTTCCGCGAGAAGGCTGGAATGCTCGACACACGTGACCTGACAGGACACACGCACTCGAGTCTCACAGACGAGCACGGGGCCGCCAAGCCACTCTGTGTGCCCATGCACACGTGTGGAGTGTGCTCGTGAAGATGCCAGCACAAAGGCATCCCTCTGTTTCAAAAGAGCATTAAAATCAAAGCCGGGGAAGCGGGGGACTGCCAGTAGTGGGAACCTGCCAGGGGAGGGGAGGGACACACCTCAGCAACAAGGGTGCCTGCATAATGAACACTTGTATACCTAACCCTGAATTAGAACCCACATCTTTAAAATTAAAAATTAAAAAAAAAAATCAAAGCTACTCACGTCTAAGAGGGCAACGAGAAACTGTCCCTGTCCTCAGCACACAGATGTCCAGCCCGGGCACACGGACAGCAGGCCTCAGCAAGCGCAGCCGGGACAGGGCTCACAGTGCCCCCGCCCCCAACGCCCCCGCGCGGCCCCCAGCTCAGGAGGACACAGGCCCGCAGAGGCAGAGCCCGCTGAGGCCGTACCTTGGTCTTCCCGGTGACAGCGCTTGTAAAGTGCGAACTTGGCGGGGCTCTCGGTCACCAGGAACTTCCTGAGCAGTGCCTCGATGACCTCAGCCACGGTGTTGGAGCTGCTGATGTGCAGGGTGTTCACACAGCTGCCGCCGGGGGCGGGCGTCCCGGGGCCCAAGGCCGCCCTGCACAGCTCTAGCTGCACCTTGATGAAGCCGGTGTAGACGCCATTGGAGTTCTGTAGTGGAGAAGGCCACACTCAGCCAGGCACGGGAGCACAGCGGGCGGGGACGCAGGGAGGTGGACACCGTGCTCCTGGCCTTCCCCCTGGGCCTCCGCAGCAGAACCGGCTAGAGCTTCCCCCAGGAACCACCCTGGAGGGCGGCGGATGCCCCTGCAAGGCGCCTCCAGAGGCAGAAAGAAAGAGGCCCCGACACCATGGCAACAGCGGTCCCCAGACTCGGCCCCAGCGCTATGAGCCCAAGGTCAGGCCTGAGTGCGAGGCTCAGTCCATGGGAGTGATGCTGGCCACACCAGAAAACTTGTGAGAGACGGGGGGTGCGTCCAGGCCACACATCAGAGGACCACACAGAGGGACGTCTCAGCTGGATCCCGAATACCTAAGTTGGCAGTCAGCGACGGAAACACAGGCTATGTTCATGCCTAGCCCTGTATACAAGATCATCACGCCTGCTTCAACTTTGTCTTTTCTTTAGACAGGGTCTCACTCTGTCACCCAGGCTGAAGTGCAGTGGCACCATCACAGCCCACTACAGCCTCCAATTCCTGGGCTTAAGCAATCCTCCCGCCTCAGCCTCCCGAGTAGGCAGAACCGCAGGCATACATGTCACTACACCTGGCTAATTTTTAAAGTTTTTGTAGAAATGGGGTTTCGCAAAACAAGCCTGTTGCCCAGACTGGTCTCAAACTCCTGGCCTCAAGCAATCCTCCACCTCCCAAAGTGCTGGGATTATAGGTGTGAGCCATTGCCCCCGGCTTGGCGTTATGGTTTTGTTTTGTTTTTTTGAGTCGGAGTCTCACTTCGTCACCCAGGCTGGAGGGCAGTGGTATGCACACAGCCACCCCAGCATCCACCCACTGGGCTCCGGCAATCCTTCTGCCTCAGCCTTCCAAGTAGCTGGAACTATAGGTACACACTACCATGCTAACTTTTGATTTATTGTAGAGATGAGACCTCGCCAAGTTGCCCGGGCTGGTCTCAAACCTGTGGGCTCAGACAGTCCTCTTACCTCGGCCTGCTTAAACTTTTTAATATGACATATATACCCGCAGAGGGTGAGATGCATGTCAGAAACCATCAGCAACAGTATTTTAAAAGAAATTCAGCCTACTCTATGAACTACTACTTGTTATAAACAATTTATGGCAGAATCACTATTTCTTAGTTGCCAAAAATAGCAATAATGGCCTTGTCTTCACTTTTCTTTGCATTCAGTATATTTAGAAGAGATTTATTGTGATGTTCTACTAAAATTATCATGTGTTACAGATAAATGCCACAGTTAAAGCGGAAAATCAAAAACTCTTTTATGGTCTATTATTTTTCACTCTTTCCACAAGATCAATTTACAATATTAATTCTTCTCTTTTTTTTCTTTTTTTTTTTTGAGTTGGAGTCTCGTTCTGTTGCCCAGACTGGAGTGCAGTGGCCACTCCCGGCCACCGCAGCCTCGACCTGCTGGGCTCCGGCGATCCTTCCGCCTCAGCCTTCCGAGTAGCCGGAATTACAGGCATGCGCCGCCACGCCCAGCTGAGTTTTTGATTTATTGTAGAGATGAGGTCTCGCTGCCCAGGCGGGTCTTGAACTCGTGGGCTCAGGCAATCTGCTCACCTCAGCTTCCCATTCTCCTCATTTTTATTTACAAAAAAGTATTGTACAACACTTCAGTTTTTTATCTTTGAAGCAATATGGAAACTTGTGACTATTTTCATTTCTGTGGGGAAAGAAAGAAAAAACAAAAAGCAATGGCAAGTGGAACTTTTTTCCTTAGATGAAAAATGTAGGCTGGGTGTAGTGGCTCACGCCTGTTATCCCAGCACCTTGGGAGGCTGAAGCGGGAGGATTCTTTGAGGCCAGGAGCTCAAGACAAGCCTGGGTGACATAGCAAGCCCTCGTATCTATGAAAAAAGCAAAAAATGAGCTGGGCATGGTGGTGCGTTCCTGTAATCCCAGTTACTCTGGAGGCTGAGGCAGAAGGATCACCCGCCCCAGGAGGTGGAGGCTGCCCTGTGATTGTGCGTGCCACTGCACTCCAGCTTGGGTGAGAGAGAGAGACTCAGCTCAAAAAAACAAAAACAAAAATAAAAAAGTTTAGTGTTTCACCTTTTTAAGGTGAACCCAGCAACTGATCGTTGAGACAAAGTGACTTCAAAACACAGATCTGGCGCAGGCGTTGGTGGTATAGTGGTGAGCATAGCTTCCAAAATACAGATCTGTGGTTCCAGCTCCTTGGAAGGCTGAGGCCAAGAATCGCCTGAGCCCAGCAGGTAGAGGCTGCAGTGGCCGTGGGCGTGCCACTGCCCTCCAGCCTGGGCAACAGAGTGAGGCTCCGACTCAAGAAAACCCAAAACACAGATTGGCTCTGAAGCTGCATAATCTCCTTTCCTGACCTTCCATGACCGCCCGTTTCTGACCATGTGCTCCAGACTTTAGAAACACAGAGACCGCAGGACCACGCCTTCCATCCGTCTTTGGACAGGCGCCGGCCCAGACACGTTCTGGTGCTTACCAAGGTCATCTTCAGCTTGTCGGTGACAGCCGAGTTGTATTTGTGAACTTTCTCTTGGATTTCCTCTCTGCTGAGGTAAGAGCAGGCTTCCTTCTCCTTCTCCACATCCTGGAAGGAAGACAAGCCACGGCGCACGTGAGCAGGCCCAGGGGAGATGCAGGTCGGTGGGACCCCGCCACGCTGCGCACAAGGACGGCCCGGTGCACGGCGCCTCCACACGGGTTCCTCTCTCTCTCCCGCCCTCCGTCTCATCCCCTTCCCTTCTTCTCCCCCCCGCCCTTTTCTCCTCCTCTCCCTCTCTCTCCTTCTGTCTCCCCCCTTTCCCCACCCACCAATCACAGTTCTTCTTCCAGCCTCTCGTTTCCCCAGGGAACACAGCAAATAAAACTAATTTGTCAGCAGCCAGAAGCGGCGTGTCATTAAATATCACTTTGCAAAACTGTCTGCTAAACTTCCCTTCTGCAAAAGCAGCATTCCCCGGGGAGCCTGCTGGAGGGGCCGCTTCTATCCCCAAGGATGCTCAGCGACACATCCCACAAGTTTCTTGCCAGCAAACGCAACTGGCCCTGTGGTCTCACAGCTTGACAACTGGCAGCCGCAAATAAATGTTCACTGGCACTCCTCCCCAGCGGCGCTGCCCACCGGCCTGTCCGGCTGCACACAATGGCCAGAGGGCACTCACCATCCAGACAAGCCCCCAGGCCAAGAGCCGGGCAGCCACACTGCCCTCCTGCCGCAGCCCTGCCCCACCCCAAGGGGGCACACCAATAAACCCTCTTCCCCGCCCCCGGAAGAATTCAGTGCCTTACTGTCTGAGGTGCTCGCCAGGGTGACATCACACAGGGGCTGGTGTGTGGCCCCCACGGTGGGCCTCGTCACCCTGACCACGCTGCCATGCCAAGCACCCAATGCAGGGCACGCAGGGCAGCGCCCCACTCCCAGACGGAGCACGCCCTAGAAGGAAAAGGTCGCCCATGGTCACCAGCTCCAGCCCTGAGAGGCCAGGCCTCTCCCAGCAGCGAGCCACCGTGTGCGCCCAGCACCTAGTGTCACAGGTGAGGACAGTGGGATGTGTGGAGTCCGGCAGATGGTCCAGGGACAGCCGCGCTCACTAAGTACTAATCCAGGTCCCCTACAGTGCCGCCACTAAGTCCAATCAGTCCCCAAGGTTCTGGCATGGGGACACATTTGAAACTTAAAGAAGGGTCTGGGTCTGGTGGCTCACGCCGGTTATGTCAGCACTTTCGGAGGCCAAGGTGAGAGGACTGCCTGAGCCCAGAAGTTCGAGACCGGCGTGGGGAATGTGGCGAGACCTCATCTCTTCAATAAATCAAAAAATTAGCCGGGCATCGTGGCACAGGCCTGTAGCTCCAGCTATCTGGAAGGCTGAGGCAGAAGGATCTCCTGAGCCCAACAGGTTGAGGCTGCAGTGGCCGTGAGCGTGCCACTGCACTCCAGCCTGGGGACAGAGTGAGACCCTGACTCCAAAAGAAAAAAATACACAGAACATCAGTGAGAGCCACAGTCTCTAGGAATACAGTCATCTTCGCAGGAAAAAAGAGAGGAAAAATGAAACCCACAAGGACAGTGGCCACAGCAGGTGAAAGGAAGACTCCAGGAGAGCCAAGTGGGCACCCCGGCCTCCTCACCGGAGCTGGTCATTGCCCAGGACAGGGACGGTGGCGGGTGGGGCTGTGAACCACCTGCCGGTTACTGATCTTGGCAGGGGGAGGTTGCCACGCCCAGGCTTGGGTTGGTCACTGGGTGAGACAAGGCATCTTTCCAGTCAGTTCCGCTGTGTGGTCCCCAGACCCTCCTGCGGGCCCTGAGGAAGAGTTCTCCCCGTCAACTGCCAACCCCGCTCGCCCCCTCTAACCTGACGGCGGCTCTGGGCTCACTTCCACTCCCAGGCGGGACACCCACAAACCCTCTCAGAAGGGACACCCCGACCTCACAGACACCCAGGGTCCTCAGGCAGCATGTGACCCCTCGGACACAACTGCTCTCTGCAAGAACGCGCCCGGCGGCTCTGGGCGAGGGGTTGACTGTCCGTCCTCTCCCGGCGGACCTTCCGGAACGAAAACGGAGGGACCGCACGATCGCTCAGAAGAGGGCAGGAAGCCGAGCAGGCCCGGCCCTCCCTTCAGCTCAGCCTCGTGGCAGTGCGTGGACTGTGGGCACGTGGACTGCGAGCACGCGGACTGCAGCTTCCACGTCCTCAGGACCGAAGCCACGGCTCTGCCTCACTCCCGCTGTGTGACCAAAGCCCAGCTGCTCAACCTCTCTGGCCTCTGCTGTCTCATCTCTGTGAAATGTGCAGAGCGACACCTAACTGCATGCATGTCAGGAAGCGGCAACACCAGCCGTTATTCAACTGAGTACCGAGTGCCAGCTGGTGCCAGCCCCGTGCCAAGCGCCCACAGCTGGGAGACGGTCCCGGCCCCGCCTCTCCGCCCTCTGCTGGCTGGCGGCCTCATCCCGTTTGTCTTGCTCTCCGCCCCGACCGTTCACGGGGCTTTCGGGTTGTTGGGGGCGGTTTTTTGAGCATCACAGAGCTCCTTAAGAGGTAGAGCTGGGCCGGGCGTCGTGGCTCAGCCTGTCATCCCAGCACTCGGAGGCCGAGGCGAGGGGATTGCCTGAGCCCGGGGTTTGAGACCAGCCCGGGCAACTTGGCCAGACCTCGTCTCTACAATAAACCACAAAAACTACCTGGGTGTGGTGGTGCAGCCTGTGGTTCCGGTAACTTGGAGGGCTCGCCAGAGCCCAGCAGGTCGAGGCTGTGGTGGCCGTGAGTGAGCCACTGCGCTCCAGCCTGGGCAACAGTGAGACTCAGACTCAAAAAAAAAAGTACAGTTATTGGCTTTTTACCAAAAAAAAAAAAAAAAAAAAAGGCAAACATTCTCTGACTGGGAGGGGACGCTCCATGCACAGTGCCCGATGGCAGGGGTGTGGCAGACACCCTCCGCTGGGGGCGGGGGAGGGGCCCTCACGCCCTCACACCCTCACTCTTACGGAGCAAACCTGGCAAGCGGCAGGTGCTTTCTCCAGGGTGGCCGATTCCAGTCCTGACTCCCGCATCCCCTCGCGTTTGTCTGGTGTCCTGCTGGTGTTCCCACGGGCTGGGGCCCCCGTGTAGCACTGCCACGCGGAACAGACAGAGCAAGCTCCAGCCAGGAACACCCAGGCTGGAGTGCAGTGGCACGACCACAGCTCGCTGCAGCCTCGACACCACGTGCAGAGTAGACACCGCGCGCCCTCCACACTGGGCAGCCCCGTCCTTGGCGCCGTGGGTCGGTGGAGACGGGACTCAGGGCTGCTCGAGCCGGCTGAGCCTGGCGGTGAGTCCGGGGCCTCCCAGGCCCTGTGCCAGCGAGGACCTCACACAACACCGCAGACCCGACCGCAGAGGACACCTTCGCTGAAGAGAGCCAGGGAGGGCCTCCGGGCACACCCAGTTCGCCCTGAAGCCCGGGGTGCGTGCCCGCAACTTGCCCAGCCAGGCTCAGAAGTGTGAGCTGTCTCACACTTCCGAGATGTCTCAGGTGTGCCGGGTGGAGACCCGGTCAGGAACACGGAAGGAAGGAGGCCGCGGTGAACTGGCCCGCAGAGCCCAGGAGGGTGTTCCCGTGGGGGCACCGCCTGTCCACCCCTGTGAGGTCATGCGAGCTGGGCTGCGTTGACATGCGACGTGGGTCTGATGCTTTCACATTCAGAGCCTCTAAGACATGAGCCGGCAGAGAGGCCGGCCAAGCGCTTCCCGGGTAAAGACCAGCACAGCTGACACGCACGGGGCTCGCCGCGGCGCATCCCTCAGAGGGAGATGGCACCAGGCTCTCTGTCAGAGCAGCCCGAGCCTGCAGGCCACGAGCCGACCTGGAGACGGACACTGTCCTGACACCGCGCACCGAGGCTGCGATGGGCGAGACCCAGCATGAAAAGCCCACGGAGGAACCGTGCGAACAGGATGTTCAAGAGGAAAGACAACTGTTCTGGAGTGAACACAATTCTGGTTTCTCTTTGTTTTTAGTCACGGTCTCACTCTGTCACCCAGGTTGGAGTGCGACGGCACGATTACGGCTCCCTGCAGCCTCGGCCTCCTGGGCTCAGGCGATCCTCCTGCCTCAGCCTCCCGTGTAGCTGGGACTACAGAAGTGCACACCATGCCTGGGTTACTATTTTTTAAAAAATATCTTGTAGAGACGAGGTCTTGCTATGTTGCCCAGGCTGGTCTGGAACCCCTGGACTCAAGAGATCCTCTCGCCTCAGCCTCCCAAAGTGCTAGGATGACAGGCGTGGGCCAGTGCGCCCCATCCCAGTCCTACTTGTGAGACAACAGCCAAGAGACCGGCAGAGGGGAGTCTAGGTGGGTGTTTTAGAGGGCTTCTGAAAAGCAGACGACGAAAATAGAACGAGGCAGCGGCCTTATAAGGACGGAGTGCCAAAGAGCCTTTGCTCAGACACAGCACACGAAAGGAAAATGGGCAGGAGAGAGAGGGGAGGACGCCTGAGGCCAAACGCGGCAGGATGGAGAGGGCAGGACGCCCAGGGCCCACAGGGCGGGAGAGAGGGGGCGGGACCCCCCAGGCCCAACGGGGCAGGAGTGAGAGGGCAGGACGCCCGAGCCCCTCCCTGCTGCCCTGAGCCCCCGGCCTCACCCCGCCCCGGCCCTCACCGGACAGCGCAGGCTCCACCTCCCCGCCAGCACCACGCATCCCTTGTGATCCCCCGTATCGAAGACCCACCCCACCCAGGAAGGTGTCCTGACCACAAGAGCCCTGCCACCTCCCCAGCCCAGCCCTCAAGTCAGACTTTGCATCCAGGGCATCTTCTGTGGCTTGCCGCTTCCTGTGTGCACTCCCATTTTTTGGGTTTTGTTGTTGTTGTTTTGAGATACGGTCTCGCTCTGCCACCCAGGCTGGAGTGCAGGGGCATGATCACAGCTCACTGCAGCCCTGAACTCCAGGTCCAACAATCCTCCTGCCTCAGCCTCCGCAGTGGCTGGCACTACAGGCATGCACCACTTCGCCTGCCTAGCCTATTTTTGTAGAGATGGGGTCTCGCTATGTTGCCCAGGCTGGTCTCGAACTGCTGGCCTCAAATGC